GCACAGGACTCAGCACAGGACTCAGCACAGGACTCAGCACAGGACTCCTCGGAGTTGTGATCACTTTGCTCAGGAGGAGATCTCTGCGGGAAGTGTTGCTCCTCCTCCTCCTCCTCCTGGAGCTGCAAGATCATGCAAGCATGAAGACACAAACACAAGTATGTTATGCATGAGTAGACACATATGCATTAGTTGAGTAAATGTCAACGGTAACTGTTCCTTAATTACAGTTATTGAACTTTAGCTGCTGATCTTTAAATAAAATTAATAACAAATTAATGGCGATATTCTGAAGGAAGTCTTTTCTGGTGAACTACAGCTTAAAAAAAAAAAAACATGGACACAATGAATAAATCCCAAAAGAGCTTCATTCACCATTGCCTTGGAACGGCAGCTAATCTTTACCCAAAAGGCTGTAACATCAAAAACAAAACTCTCACAAAAATACATTCATTTCTAGTGAGAGGTAAACATTAAATACAATAAAAAAATGTCATGAAACATTTCATCAGCCATGCCATCAAGAAAGTACAGTGGTGGACACTTGTTGCACTCTCTCCATCACCCTGGGTCAAAGGAAGTTCAGCAAATACTCCGAAGTATCACTTAAAGATGGGGAGTGTTTGACCACAAGTAGAACTATGGAGCAATGTCGTACGAGTGGGTCCCCGTTGTGTTTGTATTGTGCACACAACATGCAGGAGGACCCGCATACACCAAGGAATGGACAGTAGGCTTTTTGAAAATATTTGGTGAGAAACACTAAATGTTAACATAACGTTTATTGGTTTAAAAGAAAACTTCACAGGGCACCTTTGACTTTGGGAATATATTTAGTTCACTGGGAAAACGGAAGAAAAAAAATAAGCATTAAGGATAGAGAAACTCTTCTAGACTCGAGAAGTCAGTTTCATCATATTTATTTGAGGGATGATCTGTGGAGCGACAAAGAAAAACTGCAACATTCACGCAGAATTCTCTGCTTCACAACATGATTGATCGAAAATGCAAATAAAAACCACTCGTGTCTGAGAGCCATGACAAAGTGAAGTATGTTTTTTCTTCAGGTAGCACACTGATCGAGATCCACAGGGTTGTTATAAAACTCTGCTACGTTCGGTGTCACTTCCTCTCACAGGCTGACAGAGGCTATGAGTTCCTGAGGGACAGTGCAACGCAAGAGACGGCTTGTGAGAAGATGCTGTGTGGAACAAGCATGGAAGATACCTGAGAGGAGAAATCATTACTCTGCTTTTTATTTATTTTTAAAACTAAAAGTGGCAATCCTTAAGGTTTCAGTCCTGGTTGCTTTAGAATTTATATTTGATGAAAATAAAGGAATTTTAATCTTTTTGCTGATACATGACCCTCAAGTTTTCATAATTGTGTGCAGTGTTTCATTTTGTGTGTGTATACAACGGAGAAAAACTGTAATACAGCATGTTTCCTGGAATGTTGTCACAGACACCCATTTTGTAATACTGTGAATATACAGTATAACCTACATTTTGCGAAACTTTAATTAGTGGGCCATAGGCTCAGTCACCATTGTGTTACCTCCTTCAGTGACAGATAGGGACTCAGACATTTATTTAAATGACAATCGTTGAGATTGCCACTTAAGCTAATCAACAGTTTGAATTAATTAAAGCTTCATTTTATTAAAGTTAAAGTTGGAAGAGACTGTCAGTATAATTATAATAACAGAGATGAGATCATAATCGGCCAAAGATACAAAAATAAATACAAGTAGAGTTAGAGGAAAGCCAAAAGCCAACAAACTAGCGCAGCACTTAGCTCCGAGAAGAAGGAAAATAACTGATCAATTATGGCAATGAGGAAACAGAAAATCTTGTTACTAAAATAGAGGCTGGGAAGGATCATCTGAACCCATGATACGGTCCATGCAAATATATATTAGTGGATTATTATATTTGTGATAGACGGCATGCTCATGTTCAAATCTCTCCCAAATCAAAAACAAAGCTTGCGCTACGCTGCATATGTAATAGAGGTGCAACTAACAATCATTTCTATTGTCTCGATTAAACATTTATTCATTTAATCCTAAGAAAACAAAATCCATAAATGTTTAGTTTCCTATAGTTTAAAGTGACATATTCAAATGTCGCAAAATAAGATATTCTGCTTGCTGCTACAAGAAAAAAGCCAGTGAATTTGTCAATAAAACAGTATGTGTGCACTTGTTTGAACCATTGTTTGAACTCCCAGCTTCACCCTTGTTAGTAACACATTTATGCAAAGCCAAGTGCAGAGCACATTTAACCCTTTGAAGGAGCTCAGTGCACAAAGAGTCTGTATGAACTATTGTCAGTGTTCTTGTGCTGGATGCTAATGTCCAACCATTTGTTTGGTCTCACCAAAAATAGAAAGAAATACATATGCATGACCAGCACAGACATGGTGGTGTTTTTACTGCCAGTGCAGATGATGAGAAAGGCCTGCAGGCGAGTGAAAGGTGTGATGAATTATTGGTTCTTTCAGAGGTATGGCATGCACTTTATGCAAGGACAGATGTTTTGTGAATTCAGGGCCAGAATATGCAGTGTGCTGTTCTTTGTCATCACAAACATGACAAGTTCTTGGGAACATATAGGGACAGAAATACTGTGAGTCACTGGGGAGGAAATGGGTTGTTTAACTGTCTCCCAGCAATCTGACTACATTTCCTGACTACAAGAGTACTGTCATACTGCATTACATTCACTACTACTTCTCAGCCTGCACTAGCATTAATACAGACATTTCAACATTTTAATGCATCTGATTCTCATACCTGAAAGTATGAACTTCTTCTGTGATTATTAATCAAATCAGAGCAAAAGAGGTCAGCTTTGAGGTTCTGCATATATAAATATGAGAGTGAGGCGTCAAATATTTCTAACGCGATTAACTAAATTCCCCTGGAGTACAGGGCAGCTTTGGTAACAACCACCTGCATTTGTCGTTACTGACTAAACATGTAAATGTTAACCATGGGTTTTATTCTTTCATCAATTTGCCACTTTTTCTACAGTTGTAACAGTTGTTTTCATCATAACACAAGGAGATGAATAATTAGACAAAGAAGAATAAAAACAAAGAAATCAGAGGACAGTTGAACAGCTTGTATTTGTACTGCCAAGTCTGTTTACCTATTTCTCAGAAGAAAAAAAACTTCTTACAAAGCAACCAAAAATAACTTGGTTTTGTAACTCAACAAGTTTGAATATATTCTGAGGACAGAATCCTGACTCAGCCCAAGCAGAGACGCCAACCTGCACTGCAGGAGGCTCAACGGTGCAGACCGTTTCCCCAGCAGACCGTGAGACTGAGATAAATATTGCAGAGTAATTGAATCACTCAGATTGTTTCCTGTGGGGGGAAGAGGACAGAACATACAAGCCGGAACATAGAAAAACCCTCTACCACAACTCCTTGAGGACAACTGTGTTCTTAAAGGACACACTCATCTTCTAAAATAAGAAAAATATGTGTCCTTTAGAACCATTAGTTTCAAAATGTGCTTCTCCCTGCTGCCAGGCCTAGCTGTCTTTTTCCTCAGGCCGGCACCCTCCTCCCCTCCTCTGTTACATAAGCCCACTCCCTCTTGCCAGATTTGTTTAAAATTTGGTTGTGTGAAGCACGGAGTACAGGGCCAGCAGAGGAAGTGGTTGCTACAGAGCTATAATATGAGATACCAGGACAGCGGAAGAGAGAGAAAGACAGAAAAAAAATGAATGCACAGAGAGATGAACAGTCAGGTGAGTGAGCAGATCGAGTCACTGAGTTTAATACGCATGATCACACAGAAAGAAGACATAAAAGTGACGTTGAGTTTCACTTCCAGACAAAGACTAGATTATGTAAACTCACCTCAGCGGCCACAAGTCAGACCGACAGCTATCCAAAAGGCCCAAAACACACTTTCTTGCACAAGTTTGACGCAGCTACAAAGACGCTAACAGATGGCTGATGCTGCTGAACTTGCAAGTCCTGTGTCCACCTAAAACCATCACCCACTAAGAGAGCGCAGCTCCACGCAGCCGATCATCTGAACCTGTCCACAGAGAGCACGCACGTTACCTGAGTCCACCAGTAGCGCTGTGGCGAAACACACTCACTCCTGCTGATCTCTCCAACTCAGACCGACTTCCCACAGTCAAACTGTCACTCTCAGCCCTTTTCCTCAGAAAAATCCTCTTTCCTCGGGGCTTCTCCTTCCTTCTCCCGTCCCCTCTGTTCTCTGTCTTTTTTCAGCAGCAGCCTCTCTTTCACTCCTGGGAGCTTTGACCATTTAAGGAGAAGGGCTCTGTATGCCTCTTTGGGCTGCTGTAGAGTATGCGTGTGTGTGTGTGTGTGTGTGTGTGTGTGTGTGTGTTCCCAGGCTGCTGCTCCACTGATCATCCCTCAACTAAAACCTGAAGTAAGTTTAAAAAAAGAACGTTGTTTATTTTCTGCAGGGTTTGTTTCTCTAATTGGAGTGTGGGAGCAGTGGGAGAGTATTTTGTGTGTTGTTGTGTGCGAGGGCATGTTTGTGAGAGATAGATAGATAGATAGATTGTGTCCATCTAATCTGTGTTTACTCTACAGCCTAAGAGGAATCCATGCATCTACTTCTGAGCTTTTGTAGTTCATTATTGTTTGTCAAACATCGCACCATTTGTGCTGCATTTTAGTGGCGAGAGATTTTGGTTTTAAGAGCAGGGATCATCCTCAATGTTGTGAGGAAAAAAGATCACAGCACACACAGAGTCACACTGTTTGGACTAACGCAGCTGACGTTCACAGCTAATTACAGCATCACGCTTTGAATTAAGATGAGCTGATAAAAATAAACATCAAAAGGAGCAATTTGTGCAAAAAAGTCAGATGTTCTTCTTGTTTAGTTCAAGTCAAGTCAAGTTATTTGGCATTGATATTGTGTTGTTTTACCTAAATCCAGCGGGGAAAGTATTCAGATTAACAACAATGTAAAATACTCTGTTTCCTTCAGGGAAACTTTTGAAGAATCAAAAGTGAAAGTACTCGCTCTGCAGAAAAATGGCCCTTGTGACCGACATATTATCATGAATTGCATTATAAGATTATTAATACTGATGCATCAATGCGTACATGTCAGTAGCATTTTACTGCCGTACTTGGTTGAGGTGTAGCTAGTTTTAAATTAAGTAGTTTAGTCCAGTGGTTCACAAGAGGGTCACGAAATAAATAAAAAGAGGTTGTGAGACGATCCATGAGAGAGGAAAGAAGAAAAAACGTTATTGTTAATCATCTGATCATTTACCTCTTGAGCTTTAAAATGTTACCCAGCGAAGGGAAATTTCTCTTTGGTGAAACTACTAACAGCTTACCTGAAAAGAGACATGGGGCTTAAACTATTCATTGCTTTTTTATGAGGGGCAAAAATGTTGGGAACCACTGGTTACAATTTGTATTTTATCTATTGTAGTTTATATGTTTATCGTATGTTTTTTAATGTAAAATTTGAATCTGAAAAGGGCTGCACGTAACTTTATTTACCTCTATTTAGCACTTATAAGTAGTATATCAACTTTAAGTTAATGGTTTATAACACAATATGATATACATTTAAGCATATAAATGTTTATCATAATATATACTTTATCACAATATCATAAAACACAGTTGTAATGTCTTTATCGGACAAGCTGTAATTGTACTGTTCATTAAAATGTCCTTATGTCTGCTTACAACTACATTATAGTGTGTTATAAACAATTTGATAAATGTTTGTATAATGCTATGAATGCTAAATAGTGAGACTATTTCTTAGGAAGGGTTGGAGTATTGTATAAAGTACAATATTCAGCTATAAAGTAGGATATATACTCAAATAAAGTACCTCAAGATTGTTATTTTCCACCTCTGCCCAAACCACTAAATCAAATTGAACTTGCTTAAAAGTAGTAATCAGTATCCTCTCAATTTCCAACAAGCCAGTTCAAAAACATGAAAGATACAGAATCACACAATACATTAGGCATGCAGTCCTGCCTCTACATACAGAAATAATATCATATGTTACTGCAGTAGAGCAGGAAGGAGTCTTACCTTGCTGCAGCTGGCTCCTCCGGTGCCACCTGTTGGAGCCAGAACACAGACAGACAGTGAAAACAGTTCATTTGCATTTAACAGGAAAGCATGTGCAATGCAAATTTCATGAGACGTCAGAGAGAAGTCAGTGTGTGTGTGTGAGAGAGAGAGAGAGAAACAGAATGAGGAAACAAATGTGGAAGAAATAAATTTAGTTTTCTGTCCTGTGAGGTTGATGCTGGTATTGATCTGATCGTTAGAGCTACTGTAACTCTTGTTTCAGGAAGTACCTCACCCCGCTTGTCCACCTCTATAACTAGGGGCAACAATAACCTGGCAACCATTTTGAGTACATGAGGTGCTTGATCTGGTTGGTAGCTCTTGGCCCAAGTAAACGCTACTGTGTCGTCTGCTTTAGCCACTCTAAGGAAAAGGTCGGTAATATTGTGATATCAAGCAAAGGGCTAAACACCAGTAACCTGTTGTAGAGCACCGTTAGAGCTGAGCAGCAATAGCGCAATTTAAAGGTAATTGCATTAGGTAAAGGTAATTAAATGAACTAGTATAGTTCACATATGACAGAATACATGTAAAAAACAAGACTCAACTGCTTTTATGTGTCTTATTTGATGGTGCCACGTATTTTGACTGTTAGAAGAACCAGATCAGACTCTAAAGATACTTGAGTAATGCTCTTCTTACAGACTGATTTTACTTTTACTATAAATCATTACACAAAGCATTGAGAAAAAAACCTGCAGCGGTGCATGACGAGATGAAGGTGATGAAGATGTACAGTAGATTCTTGGCAGTGTTTTGGCACACACACACTCACACATCATTAGAGACTGCTTTTCTAAATTATTTACATTTAGTCTTGAATGGAACTCTATTCAGCACACAACTTTATTCATCACGTTTTTTTTGTACAGTGTGCCTAAAGTTGATTTAATATCTCATATTAATGATATTAATGATCGTGTACGGTGGATGAAGAGGGAATATGAAGTAGTTTTAAAAGCCTTAATGGAGGCAGAGTACTCCACTGTACCCTAGATGGCATCAAAAACACATAGCATCAGCACGGATACTGCAGTACTGATAGACATTTAAAAGCCCACATTAACTAAAATATTAGAAAACAATTAGCTACTGTTAGCATGCTAAACTAAGATGCTACAAATGCTGTAAACATGACACCTGCCTAAAATCAGCCTGTTATCGTTGAGAACATGTTAGCATTTAGCTCAAAGCACCAGCAGTGCCAAAGCAAAGCCTCACAGAGCCGCTAGCATGACTCTTAGCTTGGTTTATGAATGCGTTTATGTGACATGCGGTTTCACAACGGCTTTTATAAGCTTTCTTTTAATTAATGCTGTGTCTGAAAATATGTGCTCTGATGTTGTCCTGCCTGCTTCTCGTCTTGCTCGTTGTTTTTGTGCTTAACATTAACAAATCCAGGAATTGCAGATGACACCTTTTGGTTAAATCTAGCAAATGTTATATCACACTAATGAAAATGAATCTATGGTGTCGCTGATAAATAAATAAAGGTAAAGTACAGTATTCTCAAGATAATGTTAATACTTATATCTTGCAGTGTGGGGAGCGCTCCAAATACGATGAAACCTTTCCCAATGAAGAAAGTCTCTTCTTTTATTTACATTTAAATAGTTCTGCTTGTGTTAAATCCCTACTGTAATGCACTTAAAAGCCTGCATTGTGTACTGTGTGAGCTGCAAATCTTTTTCGTTATACAACACGCTCAAAGCACTTCAGAACAATTCAGACATGAATGGTAAGTGGGCTGTAACACAAAAATTCACAAAAACAAAGTATAAAAGTGTTGTCCATTAAAAATGGCATGTAGCTAAAAATACTTACCCTCACTGTGTTGACATTAAAAAAAAACATTCTGGCCTCCCCTCATTTTAAAGAAGGAAGTACCTTTAATTCATCTTTGTCTAAATGATTACCTGATGAACACGATAACACTATAATGAAGCCATCATACCATTCATAGGCAGCTGTGGAGTCTCACCGACTTCTGGAATGACAGGAGATGGAGGAAGACCGTCTCCCTCTTCAGGCTCCACATCGGACTCAGCCGTAGAGCCTGTGACGTCTGTGCCTGGATCAGCTGGCAGACTGGGACACGGAGACTTCAAGAAAGTACAGACAGAGGAAACAGTTTGATCCCTGTCCAACATAGGAGACATTAATAGAGACAACAAAACAACTTCATGTGTTTGACTGTCATAAAGTTACAATTTATGTTATGTAATAAATATGAAATCACAATTATAAGATTAATACTGGAGAAAATACGTATTATTACTACATATTTAAGGTTTGGTTGAGAGTCCAATGGCTGCATGTGAACATGAAAAACCTTCCCAAAGCTATTTTTGCACACTCCTTTACAACAGTCATTCCTAACATAGAGATCAGCAGTTGCCTCTGACTGGAAGAAATAAGAAAACATAAATTCTGCTAGGCCAAATTATGTTTATTTCTTGGACATTGATCTATTGTTTGCTTTTTTTATTTGAAATACTTCATAGTTTACCTCCTCGGGTCATTACAAATTATAAAAATGAATGAAAGGGATATAACTAAGTACATTTACTCAAGTGCCGTACCTTTTTTGAGGTGTTTGTACTCTACTTGAGTATTTCAAGTGATACTTTATACTTCCACTCCACTACAATTGAGAGACAATTATTGTACTTTTTACTCCACTACATACATTTATTAACTGGAGTTACTAATTACTTATTAGACAATCATAATCCAAAATATTATCAAAAATGATTATGTAAGATCACACGCTACCTCGCAGGTTAAATATATTAAGTAATTAAAATAAGCTCCACCTTAACACCTGCAACATTGAAGTGATGAACACATTAATGCAATGAGAACAGCGTATTTCTACACTATAGTAATGCTACTTTTACTTAAGTAAAAGTTCTAAATACTTCCTCCACCACTGCAAATGCAACAGTCTGATACAGTCAAATTCCTGTGTTTTGTGACAAGAGTGCAAGTAATGTCATAACCTCAGCTCTAAACCTTTAATACCAGCATCATGTATTCTGGCAGTTTGAATACCAGTTCCCTGGTATTCATGTTTTGAAATCATGACTGGATTCTGGACACACATGACAATAATACATTTGATTTTAAATTAAATGTCTATATAATTTGCAGGTGCTTTTTTCAAATATTAACTTCCCTGCATTATTTTATGTCAAATTTAACTAAATAAATACAAAATACATGTTAGCAGTACAACATACTTGTTTCTTTAACGATTCTGACCTTTTCAATTCAAGATCATTAAATGAATTACAATTGACTTTAACTATTACTCTAATTGAAGCTGAAACTGATCGTTAACACAAACCAACCTGAGTTTGATCTTTTTCTGTGATCCTGGCCTCCAGAACATTCAGCTGCTCGTCAGTGTCGGCTGCTCGTACCAGAGCCTCCTCCACCTTCAGAGTGATGCTCTCCATCCTCACTTTCACCTGGCTCACCCTCTGCTCGCTCTCTCTCACCAGCTCAGTGGTCTCCAGAGCGCTGTTAACCATCGCCTCCATCCTTCCGAGGGTCTCCAGGAGGCCGTCTGCAGTCACCCGAAGCTGGGTTTGCTCCTGCTCTGAGGCTCCACTTGTAATATCCGTAGCGACCGCTGCATCCCTCTGATCCTTCTTCACATCTCCGTCGGGTTCGTTTCTCTCTGTGTTGGTTCCCTTGTCGATATGAAGACCGCTGTTCTTTTTCTCCGCGACACACTCCTGTGCAGATCTTAGAGAGGTTTGCAGGAGGCAAACCTGCTCCCTCATATCAGTGATCGTCTGCTCGGCTTGCTGGAGGTTAACTTGTGTTTCACGGGTCTCCTGGCCTGACTGGGTGTCTTTTGTCCGGGCCTTAGCCCCCTCTACACTGCGAGCTTTCCACCAGTTCACCACAGCCACCTTCTTGGCCTCCTGGATCTGAGTCTGGCTCTGTTTTTGCTCCTTCTCCCAGGCTCTCCACCGCTCCTCCACCTTCTCCCCTTTCTCCTCCCACACACACTTGTGCAGCTCCAGCTCCTGCAGCCTGAAACCACCACTGCAGTTTTATAAACATCAGCTTTACACACTGTTATGTCTGTAGTTACCAAGGGGTACTAAAACTGCACTTATCCTCGATAGAGTCTAACACACAGAAGATAGTAACTCCTATAGGTTGCGTAATGGAGACTCCAATAAATATACTGTCAAAAACGGACACCCCTTTTTATTAGCCGGAGAAAGCTTCTAAGAACAGAGGCTAACATCAACCAAATCCAGTCTGTGACCATAACAGGAGAAAGGGAGGTAAAAAACTCACATACACATTGACAAGCTGCTGCTTGATGCTTGCCTGTTGCTGCTGGCGGTGAGGAAAAGGCCTCTCCTGTGTTTCTACAGGAGCAGAGTCCTGCATGTGAAAGAAGACACGAGAAAAGACAGATTGATACGCATACATGTTACTGCATGTACTAATTATCATCCTCTGTTGATTCTCCCCTCACCCTCTCAGGATACTTATTGTGCAGAAGATGAGCTATTTCTGCAGACTTAATCCTGTGGATGATGCTCTGAATATCATCGTTGTGTGTGTGCAGGGACGCGAGGCTTCTGTCGTCCAGATCTCTGTGATGCTGATGCAGACAAAGAAGGCAGAGGAATAACTGTCAACATGAGGCAGAATATCAGCACTATGAAAAGATAACCTGTAGACGGCATGCGCTTCCTACCTGCTGCATATCCTGCATCTCGCTCTGCAGAGAGCGGTGGTTTGGAGGATCTCGACTGTAGAGAATCTGAGGACTGATACAGTGTCTGTCATACCTGTCAGGAACAAACAGAAGAAAAGCCCTCACTCACTATGTATTAGAATAAAAACGTACATTCAATTAAACTTGTATTAATTGTGCAGTTCACACACAACAGGCCTATTTCACGGAGAAACTTTTGACAGGAAAAGCACAGGTGTAAATGATCAAATTAGTGATGGCTGAATTCTGTTTAGCTCTTTCAGCTTCAGGGTCCTGGTGTTGTGCATGTTGGCTCACTGTTATGCTGTTATGAATCACAGGGACACTTTTATTCATTTCATGAATAACAACTGTGTTTTTCCTACAACAAGTCAACATGCCTGCTGTAAAAAAAAGGTCTATCGTGTTGAAATGTTCTCTAAATTATCGTGTTTACTTTTCTACAAAACTATGTAAGCTGGTACCTCCTCTGTCTTTGAAATAAAAATAAAAATAATAACTTCATTTATATGGCTCCTTTAAAAACAGAGTTTACAAAGTGCTTTGACAGACAAAGCAAAGCTAAAGAAAGGCAGTAAAACAACACAAAGCTCAACAGTGAGGCCCAACAAAGCAAGAAAAACTAGGTAAGAGTTAAACCCCGATAACACAGTACACTAGATGAAACATAAAACCAATTGATACGATAAGAACAAACTAAGAAATGAAATAAATAATAATAATAATCTAGTAAAATAATATAATATCAATAATAAAGTAAGCAGTAAAGTGACGACATCGTATAAAAGCCACATAACAGTTGAATGCACAATTCCATCACTACTGTTCAACTTCATGCTGCAAAGTCAAAGAAAGGAAAATGGTAAATAGTTTCAGAGAACAAAATGTAGATTGAACATAGACGGAAGTACCTCAAAAGAACATGGTGTGAATGTTCCTGTAACCTCGCCAGCTCTGACTGCAGACCCTGCAGAACAGCGTTACACCAGAACAGCGTTAATGTGGTAAATAACAGCCAAAACGTCCATCCAAACCGTTAATACATTAGCACATTTGAGATATAACATTCTTCAAATTGTCAGTGTTCCTGTTGTATATATTCTTATTATGAGGCTGACAAGTTTGCTCAATAGAAAGAAAATATGGTTCGCTCATTGTTGTAATACTTCAGTCAATTCTTTGACAGGCTTGATCTTATTGTTTGCATCACATTGCATTTGAAAAAGGTCTCTCTTCGTGATTTAACATGATGTAAAGTACCTACTCGACTCTATAGCACGAGATGTCAAATAAGATTCACTTAATTCCATATCACCGCAACTTCTTTCAAATTCAAAGTGTTTGCTTTGAGACAAAAAACCTACCTCAATCATGTTGTGGTTCTCCACATGAGAGTTCTTCATCTTATCCATAAGAATATCTTTCTACACGGAAACATTTGAAAGTAAAGTTGAAAATACAAAAAATGCTGACCGACAATTTTTTTCTGATAAAAATATCCAGAAAGACCAACCTTTGCGATTTCTCGGTCTCTCAGTGTAAACATAACCAGGGTTTCCTCGAGTTCGGCCTGTGAACATTTAGATGTTTAACTCTCAACTCATAACGCAGAGACAAACACAAGAGTGTTTTACTGATCTGTTCCTACCCTCAACTCAGCATTGACCTTCCGGAGTTTGTTGATACTATCTTCTGAACATGTCCTTTCAAAGCTGAGTTTTTCATTCTGTGTGGACACAAAGAAAAGAAGATCAACGTTAGTTTTTTTTAAATCCATCATCGGCCAGATTACAAACAACAATGAGAATTCATACCGGGGGAAATCAACAATCCTACAGAGTGGTGCACAACAAACCACTGCTGAAATGCAGTAAAACCAAGGAGATGATTGTTGATTTTAGAAAGCGAAGACACACACCCCCTGTGTACATCAATGGAGCCGAGGTGGAGCAAGTGAACAGTTTTAAGTTCCTGGGAATCAGCATCACAAACAACTTGACATGGTCATCTCACATCTCCAATCTGGTTAAAAAAAAGCTCAGAAACAGCTGTGTTCCTCGAGGAAACTTCCCCAAAATCCCCGTGCCAAGTCCTACTTAACTTTTACAGATTAGCAAAAGAACCCATCCTGTCTGGAAAACATTTCAAACTGGCACGGGATGTGCACGGCTCAGGACAAAAGGGCTCTGCAACGCGTAGGGGTGGGCGATATCACTTAAAATGTATATCACGGTATTTCTTTGGGTTTTTGTGGTGCCGGTATTATTTCATGGTATAAGAAAATGTAAAGAGATTCTTCACTCAAAACATGATTCTACCAATTTTCACTCTATTGTCAATGTACGGAATCATTTCTTAAGAAAGCACCAAAATGAAAAGCAAGAAGTTTCGTGATGAAAGGGAAGGGCGGAAGCCAGTATGTAACCATAGACAGCATAAACTGTATGGGAGTGACGCAGTTCATGCCGTGTTGTATCTCCCTTGTCCTCGCAGAAGGTGATTACAACCTCCCTGAACATCATTGGTACCCATATACAGTACCAAGCATCACTGATATCAGTAGGGTGAGATGCCTCAACTCACCATCTGTACTCCCCCATAAACATTTTTTTATGTTTTGTTCTTTTACCCGTGTAGCATAATGGGACTTGCATTTCGCTGTGCAACCCTTAGTTGTAGAATGACAATAAAGGAGCCTTGAACATACACACATTTAGACTTACGTTTAAAACTACATTACCTTGTCTTCCAGCCTCCTAATGTGAACCTTCAGGCATTCAACCTCCTTGCTCTGATGATGATAAATGATTTGCATGAAAATAGTTGCGGTGAAAAATGAATCTAACATAGAAGGTAGCTTCCCTGGGTGACTGTTAAGTGTGTGATGTACCAGTTGGTTGCAGCTGGTCTGAGTGCGGCTGGCTCTCTCCTGGGCCTCTTTGAACGCCCGACGGGTCTCCTCCAGTTCTTCTGTCAGGGACCTGGCTCTCACTGCTGACCCCTGAGCACTACACACACACACCAAAGAAACATCAGAGCTTATTGTTTGATTCACCTCTGCTCTAAAAAATGAGCAAGAACAGGGATTTTGTTCTGGTTTTACCCAAATTTAAACTAATGGTAGAGTGAGGGTTGAGTCCCATTACCTGAGGTGCTGTAGTGAAGTTTGAAAGAAACTTTCACATTGAAAAGAAGACAAAGCAGGTAAATTACATTTTAAGCAGTGAGGATGAGCGGGGCAAACCATCAAGCCGATCCTTATTCCAACAAATATATGATCCATTTTGTCCATCTTACAATGTTAAAATAATTTTTCAACCTTATTAAGAAAGTCAGTCTTTCCATCTCATGAACCTCTTTGATCATTTCATGCCAGTTATCTACTGTAGGTGGAGCGGCATGTAACTATTTACGAGGGAGTGCTTTTTATTTGCTGCTACTGTAAATATTTTCATGGGGTGTCTGTCATTTCCTGTTATTCTTTCTGGCAGATCACCCAAATAAAGGGACATGCATGTCAATGGGATCGGAAGTCCATGAATCTGCTGCATGAGTCTTCAAATATTTTCCCAAAACAGTTGTATCTTTGGGCAGATCCTAAAAATGTGGTGGTGATTTACCTCATCATCCCCACAGTTTCTCCAACAAGCATGGTCTGTAGATACAAGATGTGTTTTCAATTAAGGAGTAACGGAAAAAAGAACAAGATTGTTCCAACATAATTCAGGCCAATACACAGAACAAAAAGTAGAAAAGACAGTTTCACGCGTTTTCCCCATTGTCCTATTGATACAGCTTGTGGTAGTTAATCTATCTTTTACAATTCCCTGATAAAAGTTTTGAAATTGCTGATTAAATACCAAAAATATCCCTTTAAGTTGACAATCGCTACACAAGGTATTCTGCTTCCATCTTGTAAACTGAGATTCCCTTTATCTCCCTAATTCACGCAATGACTTTTCCTGCACATTCACTGTCATGTAGCGACACTGACATCTACTGGTGATCCACTGGGACTACAGCCTAATAATGACACTGGCAATAAATAACATTTTACTTAGGGCTGGTTTTAATGCGAAGTGTGATTGGCCTATTACTGCAGCAGCTACAACAGTGCTGAAAGAGCTAACAGTTTTAACTTGGGGGAACCAGAGGGTGGGCTTTACCCTTCCGGTCCCGCCACCATGGGTCGGGGGCAGAAACTGCTTTATGAGTGCTGTGCAGGGGGCCCATTACTGGCTTGCCAGTGGGGTACAGACACAGCTTCCATTCACAAGATGTGTATCAATGAAGTACTCTAATGGTATTAGGATCACTTTAAGGGTAGGCCTACTGGTACTGGCATCAGGCTTTTTTAAACGATACCCAGCCCTAAATTATGACTACAATGAACACCATTTTCCCATAAACACATCAGAAACATAACCTCCACGGTGACTAGATATCCCGGTTTTAAGCTGGGTGTCCCAGCATTGTCCTCACCATTATGCCTACAGCTCTCTGACTTGGTTGCAGGTAGTGCGGGAATCGGTACACCAGCTCAACGTCCTCACTGCTTTCATTGTCAGAACTCTCGACTGCATTGTTCTTGTTCGTGTCTGATTTCCCCTTTATTCCTGTTTTGGGTCTGTGCCAGGTTTGTCTAGATTGCATGGAAGTAAAACGTTGGCCCCCTCTCTCTGGTACTACCTCATACACAGGACTCTCACTGCTCCTTCTCTTCACGACAACATGAACTTTACTTTCCTAACAGGATCGCAGTTTACCAGGACCCCCTCTTTTCTGAAAACAACCTGTTGTCCCATTTCTTTGTGCAACTCTTGAAACACTGTCTGCTAATGTGCTTTTAGTAGGACAAGCTGGCATTTATCTCCTGCTTTGCTGTAGAGGATTTCATTATCATTGATACAGTTTTTGTCACTGTCTCAGTAAGACATCTGTAGGCTCAGCTTTAAGAGACTTGGTGCCGATTGTCCCTTTTGTACTGCAGAACCCCAATAATGACAGGTTCTCTCATATGGCTTTCTCTAATTTGCTCTGGTGTTGAAGGTTCGTCAAGATAGGTGAAGATGCATTGCTCACTAAGTCCAGTGTGTGTATGAAGCTGTTGTTCCCCAGGCTGGAGGTGTGTCTTTCTGCATTATAACCCCTTGAACAGTGGCATATGGAAGAGGTAAGACCAACAGTAAAATACAATTGCATTGTATTACACCATAAGAAATGATTCTGTTTAATAACCAACACACGACTTATAGTGCCGCACATACACTCTCGTTCTCCTTCCATTTGGCCTCATATCCACTGTCACACCAAAGAATTGTGCAGAACGGTAATAATTCTTCAGATTAGGGAGAGACCTCCTTCCTTACTGATGATTTATGTACTATATTTGGTCCTTGGTTTCCTTATAATCCAAATAAATTGCTTGTTTGTAAATTTGTTGTCTCATTCGTAAAAATTAGTTGTTGGTAGTCTGGGTAAAATAGACATTTTTATCTCATTTCTCGGTTCAGTAGTGATGTTGACCAATTGCTAAGATCCGTCTTAAATCTTCTTGTTTACACTTGGACAATGTGTGAACCCAACTCCCAGAAATTTGATTGCTTTTTGAGATCAGTGAATGGGGAGTGCTTCCGTAATCATGTGGTGGATGGCGATTAAATGTTGAAATTTGTGTTTTTTAAGTTTATAGACCGAATATGTGCCAACTAAGGGCAGGAATGCAGACATCTGGGTTACGAATATAAAGCAAAACATCATCAGCGTACAACTGTATTTTGTGTTCCCTGTTATTGAGTACAATTCCCTGTATAGTCTTCTCTCTTGTGTCAAAGCTTCTGTGTAAAGTGCAAACAGGTTTGGTGATCTGTGTCTCCTGCACTGATTAATGTGCCTTGTGATTCGTAAGCAATCAGTTCAAGAACCTTCTAAATATGTTGTGGGAGATTCAAAGAATAAAGAAGAAAGTAGTTAATCCCTCACCTGGCCAGCTTAGCTCGCAGCTCAGTGACCTCAAGAGTGAGCTGCAGGTTTACGTCTTCACACTGAGTCACCGTCCTCATCAGACTGCTGTTCTGCTCACTCAGCTTGCGGTGAGCGTGCTTCAGGTCGGTCACTGTGCCTAAAAGGTCTTTTCCATCACTAAAGCCAAACAAACAGTTTGTGGTGAAGTACGACAACACATTCTAGGAGGTAAACACATGCAGTGATTAAAGTAGTCAAATAACTAACCAGGAACACTGGTGGCTTTCTGAGGAGGAAGCTTTGCTTTGAGAAGCTGAGGACTCCAATCCTGAAAGGAAATCAGGTTTAGTGAACCGCCATCTGATGTGATTCCGACATTTCTCAGAAGTCTGAACAAAACAGTGACGGCTTACTGTTTACAGGCACTTTAGAAGAGTCAGGCCAAGATACATGACTGCTGTCCACATTAGAGCTGAAACACACACACGGAGTCATTAAAGGAAAATCCACAGCAAATGTAATCGTATTAGGGAATTCAATAACTCTAAATGCACAGGCTATCGTCCCCCCTTTCAGTTGTAGGAATAATCTACATCTACATCTTGTTGCTGCCTGAATAGTAGATATTTTTTACGTAAGTACAACTAGCAATAACTCAGTACGAGTACACTCCATTACAAGTAAAAGTCCTTCATTCAAATTTGTACTTATATAAAAAGTACAGAAGTATCACGAACAAAATAGCATCAACATGGCACTATTTAGATTGTTATTTTTTAAGATCATGAGATGTTTTACATGGATGTTTTCCATTTAATGATGAACCAGTAATTCAAGCTCATAAATAAATGTAGTGGAGTAAAAAGTACTAAGTTTCACAACAGAAAGTTGTAAGTTTAGTTGGAAAATGCAGATGATTTGCAGATATTTGAGCATAGTGGAAGAATACATTCAGATACATTTAAACAATGTCACTATCATTAAAAAGGTGGTTGCTAAATCAAGGTTTGAAGTCCTGAATATAATGAATATAAGTCCTTCTTTAAAGTAGGCCACACGCTACATGTCATACAGAATGATGCACAGTTGATGTGTTTTGTCTCACCTGTCCTGGCTGCACTGTGCGATCCACTCCCTTATGGTGACTTGGAAAGTCTCTCTGCTCACGTGAGGGTCCTGACAGTCAGGGTCGAGTAGCCGTCGCAGGGAATCCAGTCCGTCCTGCTCAGGACTCTGAGCCGTCATGGTCTGCAGGTACTCCATGATGGTGGAGGCCAACACCTCTCCTGAAGATGAGAGAGAGACAGAGGAACAATGATTCACAGATCACATGATTATTTCTGATCCGTCTTGGTCAAAACAACATAAGCCTGTGTACCTGTGTTGGCGGTGTTACATGTATTATACATGATGTCAAGGAGTTCATGTTCAGAGAATCCACTTGTGTCTTTATCCTTCGTCCCACTGCCGGCTGACTCCCACACTAAGCATGTAGAGATGGGCAAAAGTTAGAGCACATTAAAGTACAGGAAGTACACATGCAAGAAAAGACAACTTACTTTTGATACTTTGTAAAAGAACAAAGTAACTGCAACACTTACCATCATTGCCGTCAGACATTGTGTTTGTTTCTCCTGAATCCCTGGAGAGCAAATGTGCTGATGGACTGTCTCCTTCCTACATGACCTGATTTTTCAATTAACATCAAATACTTTACAGATCTTTTCCTCCATTTATTATGTCTAGGGGGCAAAAACTCAAATCAAAATTGAGTCACATATAAAAACAATTCATATCTAAGATCTGAAGTGAAGTTTTCTTTGCTTGTAATAACTCCTCTTCAGATCTCACTGTTTAAAATGCTTACATGTATGCAGTGCGATCTAAGTCAGTGGGGTACATCTTACACATTATCTTACTGTCATCCTACAATGAGGCAGACAAATGCTGCCTTAATTAACTTTTTTTATGTTAAAATTATGTTTTTAAGGAAGAGCACAAAATAGCTAAACCAAATCTCCACTACTAAAATAATCAATGTATGTGCTAAATATACAGAGATGATAGGGTTCCATTAAATCATGTCTACAATGAGATTATACGACACTGTTGTTTGTAACAATCAAATATTATTTTAAGAAGAGAAAATAAAGATAGATTCTTACTTCTCAGTCCGGGAAATCTCCTCTGACAACAAAAAACAAGATTGTACAATGTTAAATCAGGAGCTTCATTTTCACAATTGTTTTTCTAGTCTTACTCTGACTCTCTGTGATGTTTGCATAAGAAGTCTTCAAGATGCCCAAATGCTTGTTCTCACTGCTTCACATCAAAACCAGCTGACACCCCCACAGTCCCCTCTCTACCATCACCCCACCCCACCTCACTCCTGCTGACGTCTGCGACAGTGGGTTTAAATTTAAATTCACCGCTTTAACATTGCTAAATACTCCTATTGCCACTGAAACTGATAGTTCTTTCAATATTGTCGAACTTGCAGCTAATGTTGAATTTAATTTGTGAGCAAATTGTTACCGCATCCCATCAGGCTAAATGAAAACCAACTAAAATTATTCCTGAAGATGCAGAATAAATTTAATGCAATTATTGTGTTTTTTAGTACTACCACTACTGTTTTAACCGCGTTTCCATCAAAGAAACACGTGTGTTCACCTCCAGGAGGAACAATTTCTGGATTTCCATCAACCTGCCCGGACACAGTTTCCGTGGCACTGGCTGTATGTTTGTTTCCTGTAGGAAGCATGAAGTAGCTACCAACAGACAACGGGTGGACATCTCGTATTATTCTTTAATACATCTAACTCAAAGTGGACCTTTCCTCAGTCAAGATGTCTCGGGGCTCTATCGAGATCCCTTTACGGGACACGGATGAGGTAAAACTCGTCTAATATGTGCATTTGATTGTGTTTGCTTGACTTACCTTTAACGTTACGTTTCCTCGCTGTGCTACTAGCCGTTAATGCTAACGATATCGAGCATCAGCTATGGTTTTTCTTTACACCACAGCGGAGTGTTTAATGTAGAGTCATGTCAGCCTGAGATGTTTAGGTATTTGCAAGTCGACCCGGAACGTAAACGTCAGTTATGTTCGGAGCAGCGAGTACAGAAGTAACGTTTAGCTATCAAACGTTACTCACGTTACTGTCTGCAGGAATATGAGAGCGGGTTGTGATGCAAGTTAGCAGCTCGGTTACTGTGATGCTTTCTGTCAATGAAGCAATCTACAATCCAACGGTTCCAGTATCGTAAATCAAAGAACTTTAAATTAGTTTACATATGTTATCATATGGCAATTTAACTGCAGCAGCATCATTCACAGCAGTGGATATAGTCATCACAGTATATACAAAGTCTACATGTGTACATGAGTTTTGGCTAATCCAGTGAATTAAGTTTTTGATGCAAAAGTCATGTCAACGTCCAATAATTACATAAAGCACCGATTCATTGTCATTCATGTCTTAAATGATGCATGGGTTAAGAGTTTTGTCAGACTTGATGAATACTTTGTATGCTGCAGGTTATCGAGCTTGACTTCGACCAGCTGCCGGAGGGAGACGAGGTCATCAGTATCCTGAAGCAGGAGCACACACAGCTGCACATATGGATCGCTTTGGCGGTGAGTCGGTGGTTGCATTTTTTATTTATTTTTTTTATCGTTGCCTCGACTTGAACATAATCCAGATGTAAAAGTTCACTTCATCCCATCAGTTGTAACAGTGTGCACTCCGTCGTGTTTCAGTTGGAGTACTACAAGCAGGGCAAAACCGAGGATTTTGTCAAGCTGTTAGAAGCGGCTCGTATTGATGGAAACCTCGACTACAGAGACCACGAGAAAGACCAGATGACCTGTCTCGACACATTGGCAGCTTACTATGTCCAGCAAGCACGGAAAGAGAAGAACAAAGATGCCAAGAAAGAGCTCATCACGCAGGCCACGCTGCTCTATACAATGGCAGACAAGATCATCATGTATGATCAGGTAAGAAAGAATTGATGATGAGTGAAAACCGCTATTTCTCCACTAATTCTGCAAGTGAATACAACATGCTCTTGGCTCACTCAGAACCATTTGTTGGGACGAGCCTGTTTCTGCCTGCTGGAAGGAGACAAGATGGACCAGGCTGACGCTCAGTTCCACTTTGTCCTCAATCAGTCCACCAACAACATCCCTGCTTTGCTTGGCAAGATCATTATTAACAATAAAACATCAATCTTGACCACTGTGATTGATTTACTACTAATAATAATAATCACGTGGTTGTTGTTCAACAGGTAAGGCTTGCATATCATTCAATAAAAAGGATTACAGAGGAGCACTGGCATACTACAAAAAGGCTCTCCGTACAAACCCCGGCTGCCCAGGTAAACACGTCACCTGTATCCTCCTCAAAACAGAACCCTGTAAGATACGTATTGCAGATCATTCCTCATCTTCTGTCTCTTTCCAGCTGAGGTGAGGCTGGGGATGGGCCACTGTTTTGTCAAGCTCACCAAACTGGAGAAGGCTCGTTTGGCGTTTGGCCGAGCCCTGGAGCTTAATTCCAAATGTGTGGGAGCTCTTGTTGGTTTGGCGGTTTTAGAGCTCAACAGCAAGGAGGCCGATTCCATCAAGAACGGAGTGCAGCTCCTGTCGCGGGCCTACACCATCGACCCCAGCAACCCCATGGTGCTCAACCACCTGGCCAACCACTTTTTCTTTAAAAAGGTAGTGACTCATCTAGTTTATCATTTAACTACTACTCAACAAGTGTCTGTCATTTAACTGTTAATCACACTTGTGTGTGTGTCTGTTTTTTTCATCAGGATTACAGTAAAGTGCAGCATCTGGCCCTCCACGCTTTCCACAACACAGAGGTTGAGGCCATGCAGGCTGAGAGCTGCTACCAGTTAGCTCGCTCATTTCACGTGCAGGTAAGATCGGAACCGATCCTGAGGCAAGTTACTATATTCATGTAGTTATCAATTTACATCTCTGATATCTCTCTTTCTCCTCAGGAGGACTACGACCAGGCCTTTCAGTATTACTACCAGGCCACTCAGTTTGCCTCGTCCACCTTTGTGTTGCCCTTCTTCGGCCTGGGGCAGATGTATGTGTACCGCAGGGACAGAGAGAATGCGGCACAGTGCTTCGAAAAGGTTTTAAAGGCCTACCCCAACAACTACGAAACAATGAAAATTCTGGGGTCTCTCTATGCTACATCTGACGATCAGGAAAAGAGAGACATCGCCAAAGTACGTGTCGTGTGCAGATGATTGAAATCCTATGGCTTATTGAGATGTTTACTAATCTGTCTACGCTAGATACTAGTTAACACGTCACTGTCTTTGTTCCCTAGGGCCATTTGAAGAAGGTAACGGAGCAGTACCCAGATGATGTGGAGGCGTGGATCGAGCTGGCTCAGATTCTGGAGCAGACTGACATTCAAGGAGCGCTGTCTGCATACGGCACAGCCACCCGCATCCTGCAGGAGAAGGTGCAGGCTGACGTTCCCCCCGAGATCCTCAACAACCTCGGGGCTCTTCACTTCAGACTGGGCAACCTTGGAGAGGCCAAGGTAGCTGTCAATATACAGTACAGCTTGTATAAACGTATCACCCTAAAATAGCTGCATTCACCTGGGAAGTCATTGGATATACAGAACATTGACATGTCTCTTTCATTGGGGTATTTAAAGTAATTTTGTATACACAATCATGCAGTGGGCAGAACACTGTACATCAACAATGGGTCGTGTCTTCTCTCCTACAGAAATACTTTCTTGCGTCTCTCGAGCGGGCCAAAGCTGAAGGAGAGCATGACGAGCATTACTACAACGCCATTTCTGTCACCACATCCTACAATCTGGCCCGCCTGTACGAGGCGATGTGTGAATTCCACGAAGCTGAGAAACTCTACAAAAACATCCTGAGAGAGCATCCTAACTATGTGGACTGTAAGCATGCAACATTATACAATTTATTAAAAAAAAAAAAAGGGGAGAACAAGAAGAAAAATGTTTGTACTCTGTGAAGACTCGCTTGAATTTTTGGTCAACAGGTTATCTGCGTCTCGGAGCGATGGCTCGCGACAAAGGAAATTTCTACGAAGCCTCCGATTGGTTCAAAGAGGCCCTGCAGATTAATCAGGTACTTTGTCACCTGTAGTGTGAATACAATAACGTCCGAATCTAATAAAAATCAGATGCTGTCGACCTCTCTTCAACATCATCTGATGTTTGTTCTTCTTGGTGCAGGACCACCCGGATGCCTGGTCCCTCATAGGGAACCTTCACTTGGCCAAACAGGAATGGGGACCGGGTCAAAAGAAGTTTGAGCGTATTCTGAAGCAGCCGTCCACACAAAACGACACGTACTCCATGCTGGCTCTGGGTAACGTGTGGCTGCAGACTCTGCACCAGCCCACAAGAGACCGGGAAAAGGTGCCGTTCAGTAATCGCCTCACTTATTGTGTGATGGAGCTCTTGTACTTGTTTTCTCTGAAGTTGAATAAGTGAAGAGAAATAATAGGTCCTCAAATATTTTCTTTTCTTTTGTCTTGACAGGAAAAGAGACACCAGGACCGAGCCCTGGCGATATACAAACAAGTCCTGCGAAATGACTCCAAGAACCTCTACGCTGCCAATGGCATCGGTCCGTCGAGTCTGTACTTATTTGACTTTTTATTAGTTCTACTTTTTTATGTATGAAGTATTTCACATAAATGCCTCGTGTCCAGGTGCCGTCCTGGCCCATAAGGGCTTCTTCAGAGAGGCTCGTGACGTGTTTGCGCAGGTGAGGGAGGCCACAGCAGACATCAGTGACGTCTGGCTCAATCTGGCTCACATCTACGTCGAACAGAAGCAGTACATCAGCGCTGTGCAGATGGTAAAGGCCTCACTTGTGATGACTTCTAAAACATGATCGTCTTTGTTCATGTTTTTATCCTGAGAGTTGAGTATTGTATTCTGCTCTACAGTACGAGAACTGCCTGAAGAAATTTTTCAAATACCAGAACACTGAGGTGCTGCTGTACCTCGCAAGGGCGCTCT